ACACACACACCATACACATGCGTACACACCTCCCATACACCCCACATACACATACATCACCCCATACACACAGATCCCCATACACATGCATACACATACACACCCATACACATGCATACACATCTCCCATACACACACACACACACACACACACACACACACTCCTCCATACACAGACCCCCCATACACATACATACACACACACCCCCCATACACATGCACACACCCTCTTACACATGCATACACACCCTCCGTACACACACATACACCCTCATAGATCCCCATACACACACACACATCCTCCATACACATACATGCATACATGCACATGCACACACACATACACATATACACACACACCCTCACACACACACACACACACACCCATACACAAACATACCATCCCTACAACCTGTATGCACACACACATACACCCCCATACACTCCCATATACATAAACACCCATACACATGCACACGCACCCTCCATACACACACAGTCATACACACACGTACACCCCCTTATGCCCCCATACACTCCCCCATATACTCCCACACAAACACCCATACACATGCACACACACCCTCCATACACACACACTCACATACATGTACACACCCCCTTTATGCCCATACGCACACACACATACACCCCATATACACACACACCCACAGAGGCGGTATCTGAGGCCATGGAGTGGGTGAGGCCATCCATGGGAAGAACACCGAGTAAGCCTGAAGAACCCTTAACACTCCTGACAACAGAGACTGAGGAACAGAACCTGGGGATTTGGTGAAAACCAAGACACGTGTGGGTTAGCGCCAGGCAGCCCTTGGTCAGGGAGACCTGTAGAAAGTGGCCTCCCTTCTCCAACAAGCAATTGTCCTTACAATGTAGCCGGGATATGTGATTATTCAGAGAAGTGAGCTTCACTTTTTCAGAGCCACTACTCTTCCTGTCTGATATCACCAGGTAACCCTCTTCAAGGTGCACCTTACACAGGTATACCCCACATGTAGAGTCTGTGTGTTCTCCCAGAGTAGACCTCCTTCAGGTACTTCCCTTGAAATACGTCAGGTGTATCTCACAGGCCAGTCCCATGCAGGTATCCATCAAGAATTTACACTAGGCCTTCAGCCCCACTGGCTAAGGATGAAAGCTTGGCATTTAGAATGTCAGGATGTTAACCTTATAATATATAATAATAATAATACATAATAATATATAATAATATAACCTCATAATCATCTATGAAAGTCTCCCTATATATATAAATTATATAATACATATACTATAATGTATAATAATAGAACCTTATAATAATCTGACTGTGGAAGTCTCCCTAAATATATATATATGTAAATAATATATGTACATAATGTACACATATGTAATATATGTAAATAATGTATGTAAATATATAACGTTAATATGAAATGTTTACATAGAAATATATAATAATATATAACAAAAATATAATTAATATAACCTTATAATAATCTGACTGTAGAAGCTTCCCTGAATCTATAAAACCTATGTCTATGTGACCTGGAAGAAAGAAGGGACCTCAAATTCTTCAGAACCTCTTTCCTTCCCTGATATGCCACAGTCATCAGGCTCCCAAGCAAAACCCAGCAATACCCTACCTGTAGCTATAGCTTAGAATCTCAAAGCTAAAAGAAATGCTAAATCTAGGTGACATGTGACTCGTACCAAATCCTGAAGAATTCACTCAGCCTTGGTTTGAACACCTCTGAGTATAGGGAACTCACTGCCTACAGAGCTATCGATTGCCATCTCAGAGAGCTCTATTTGTAAGTAAGTTCTTCCCCCAGAATTCATGGTAAAAACTAGCCATCCCCATTACAGCCCCAAAAAGAATGGATCACATACCTGTGGGCACTGCCTGGTCCAGCATTGGTTTCTCCCATGTGTTAATCTGCTCCCAGGTGAACCCATTGGTCCCTAGAGCCACGCTATAACCACAGTTGCTGTAGTGCTCATCAAAGGAACAGCCACCTGCAGACAAAAGAGATATGGGTAAATACATTCCTGTGTCTGAGGCTTGGTTCGTTACCCTGTCTCATTGGCTCTTCATTTACAGCTTTGAATTTTAAACTTTGGAGAAGATTTTCTTTTATGAAAAAAAAAAAAAAAGACGAGCAAATTGGATTTTTATATTTGCTTTGGTGCTCTCAGGAAAGGCACTGGCATCTGCAGGCCCCCCTATTTTAAAAAGTTAATAAGGCTAGTTACACTGATTTTAATCTTCCTTCCTGAGAAAGTAAACAGCAGCATCTCATTCTAAGTAGGAAAAATGAATGCTGGGGCATGCCTCTGTAATTGCTTTGTGCAGCACGGGAGATGCTGTGAGGCAGAAGAAGGAGCACTCACTTCTGAGTGTGGCAAAACTAGACAGCCATCACCTTCACAAGGCTGTGTGAGCTCAGGCCAGAGGCTTCATACCTGGGTGCCTCGGTTTCCTCACCTGTGAATACGGAGGAAACTGTCCAATCTTACAGAAATGCCATGAGGATTAAATGGAATAACATATGAAAAGTAACTGCCACAGAATACTTTCTCAATGCCCACCTGTTTCTCTGCAAAAAGCAGTCTGAAAAAACAATTTTTCATGGGGTGAGAAACGAATTGGTAAGAAATTAGACAATCATGCACCTGGAAGATAATAAAGTCAATGTTGATCATGTTTCAAGCTTCTCCCTTTAACTTTAAAGGTCAAGCCATCCACCATTTGAGAATAAGTTACATTCATTTGCTGCTGACAAGGATTCACTGAGCATATGCTCTGGGCTGTAAGTCCCATCAAGGTGACATTGGGAGAGAGGTGGGGTGTACAACAGAGGCTCCAACTAGGAAACACTGGTCCGTCCAGAGAAATAGAAGCCCATTATATTCTGGAGGAGAAAGAAGAAGCAGAGGAGAAGTGAAAAGGGCTTTGAAGGTTGGGAGCATCTCCAGGGGCGGAGGGCAGGAGGAATGGCATTCTGGGTTGAGCCCACAGGGTACACAAATGCAGGGAGGCAGAACTGGGTCTGAGTTCTACAGCAGCCTTCTGGCTGGTCTCCCACACCTGTTTCACACTCCAGTCCATCTTTTCCAATGCCCCTTTCTTGTCTCCTTAATGTTTAGAGGTTGCATCACATCACCCTCCTCCTCCTCCTTTAAACGTTCATAGGTTTCCCACCCCACAGGGAACCAATGTCTGCTACAGATTAAATGTTTGAATGCCCCCAAAATCCATGCTCAAGTTTTAACCCCCAAAGTGATGGTATTAGGAAGCATGGCCTTTGGGAGGTAATTAGGTCATGAGGGCAGAGTCCTCATGATTGGGGCTGGGATTGGGATTAGTGCCCTCATAAAGAGACCCCAAAGAGCTATCTCACCCCTTCCACCATGTGAGGACACAAGGAGAATCCAGATGACATGTGACTCATACCAAATCCTGAAGAATTCACTCAGCCGTGGTGTGAACACCTCATGTGCCATAAAAGAAGCAGAAGCTGGGCCCTCACCAGATGCTGAATCTGCCAATGCCTCGATCTTATACTTCCTAGTCCCCAAGACTGTGAGAAATAAATTTCTGCTGTTTATAAGCCACTCAGTCACGGTATTTTATTATAGCAGCCTAAGCGAACTAAGAAAACAGCAAAACATGGCTTTCTTCAATGTACGTAAATCATGCCACACTAGCCTGGCCCACCTCTACAGATTCATTAACATCAGACTATTGTCTCCATCAGCTGCAAAGAACCAAATTCTTTCTCTGCACCCCAGAACTGAGATTTCCTCTGGATAGTGGTGGTGGACATCCTGTTGACAGACTTGATATAGAATATGGTCCAGACACCATGGAAAAACACCTGTGACATCAAAGCTTTTTCCACTTTCCTTTCTTGTCGTATATGAACACCCGGAAGAGCTGGCCTTTATCAACTGCTGTGGTCCAAATGTGTGTGTTTCTCTGAAATTCATATGTTGAAGTCTAATCCCCAATATAATAGTATTAAGAGATGGAGCCTTTGGGAGATGCTCCCAAAGGATTCTGAGGACTCTGCTCTCATGAATGAGATCACGCCCTTATAAAAGATGCCTTAGCAGATTCTGCCATGTGAGGACGCACAGAGGGTGCCATCTATGAGTAATGGACCCTCATCAGGCATCAAATCTGCTATCACCTTGATCTTGGACTTGCCAGCCTTCAGAACTATGAGCAATCAATTTCTATTTTTTAAGTAACCCAGTCTGAGTCATTTTGTTATAGCAGAACAAATGGACTAAGACCACTCAAGCACCCCACTGAGTATCTCTACTCCATGGAGGAGAGCCACCCAGAGAGTTGTCTGACCAGGAATATCAGCATTCAACTTTTCAGGAGCAAAATATAAACTTTTCTTGTCATATGCCAATGAGATCTTAAGGTTTAATTGTTAGCACTGTAGAGCTTTCTACAACCTGACTAATATATGAAGTATGTCACATACCTTAACACAGTGATCTAAAGAAAGATAGAAGCAGCATATTCTCCCAAGCATTTGCTGTGTCAGGGAATATATTAGACACTGATTATATGCACTATCTTATTAGCTTTCATGTCATCCTCGTGAACCACACGAGGCACATTTTATCTCAACTTCAAATCTAAGGCAATTGATGCACGGAGGGGATAAACGACCTGCTAAGGCAATATGGAAGGAAAGACGGTGTTGGAACCAACACTAAATCCATGGGAACCTAGCTGTAGAGCCCATGCCCATCGTAACAGACCAGAGAGAGAATTATTCCCCCAGGAACAAGGTCTTTCACTTATAAGGTAATGTGAAGGGACCAGGAAGATAAAGAACTTCCAAGGTGGTTGGGTCTCTCCATTCAAATCCACTTTTTCACTCATTCTAGAAACACTCAACAAACTTTTTTAATGGACTCTGGGCATGGAACAGACTGCTACATATAATCCTTACCCTCAAAAGTTTGCAGAACAAAGTGAAAGATAAGCACGCGCTTTCCTGTTGTGGCCTGCGTGGTGTCGGCTCGTGGGTCTCAGAGACCTGAAAATTAAGAGCATTTTTACGCCCCAGGGGCCTCTCGTGGCGGCTCTGCGGCCATCACCATGCCACAGAACGAATATATTGAATTACATCGCAAACGCTATGGATACCGTTTGGATTACCATGAGAAAAAGAGAAAGAAGGAAAGTCGAGAGGCTCATGAACGTTCAAAGAAGGCAAAGAAAATGATTGGTCTGAAAGCTAAGCTTTACCATAAACAACGCCACGCTGAGAAAATACAAATGAAAAAGACTATCAAGATGCATGAAAAGAGAAACACCAAACAAAAGAATGATGAGAAGACTCCACAAGGAGCAGTACCAGCCTATCTGCTGGACAGAGAAGGACAATCTCGAGCTAAAGTACTTTCCAATATGATTAAACAGAAACGAAAAGAGAAGGCGGGAAAATGGGAAGTCCCTCTG